TAAATGCTCAATTTGTTAATATTAGACTGGGTTGAGCAGGTCAAGGAAAAGTACAACCTTGGTGCATAATGATAAATTGAACACAGCAAAAATAGCTCAGATCTGTTTGTCATAATAGCTGTGAATACGAAAGCTGAATATGAGGGAGAATGAGCGTGGATATAATTAGCAGGAGAATCTGCTATAGCTCAAGATCACCCATCTCTCTATATGAGGGTTTCTTAAGGGCGGGGGTGGGGGGGGAAGAGATATTTTGGGTAGAAAAGTCTGATTTTCTAGAAAGTCTGTGGTGAACTGTGACTAGGAGAGCTAAGAAGTCCAGCCAAAAAAATTAGTGGAAGAGGCACAGTGCTGGAGTTCAGCGAACAAAATGATGGATGAGGGGGACATTGTGCTGCCAGGGAACAGGGAGGTGGCAGAGGAAATGACGGGGTCGCCTGCGTGTGTGTGTTTGGGCAAGCGTGTCCGTCTGCGCCTCCGTAAATGAGAGAGTGTGTGTGACTGCGAGTTTGAAAAGCCAGGGAGAGAGAGAGAGAGAGAGAGACAGAGAGATGCTGGATATCTTTCTTAAATCTCTGTCATTGTCCTTGCCACAGTCTTAACGTGGGAAGTGAAGGCACTGAAAGATCTCCTTCCCCTTGTGTGCACAGTGCTCCCCTTGCCTTCTCACCCGTTCTCGTCTTCCCTTTCCTCCTGTCCCTTCGCCCTTTCCTTTTCTCTTTCTTGCTCAATGGAGCTATTTAGTGTTGTACCCTCCTTGCCAGAAGCTGTTTCATCCCTGCTTGCTCAGTTTTTAAAACTGCTTTCTCCACCCACCTTCAGTCTTGGTTTTTCATCTGTGCTAGTCCTTTAGATTTACCATCTTTAAAAAAGAAAAGGCAAAGGGAGCCAGCAACAACCTGATTTAGTTGTCGTTACTCCAGTCTTTTCTCTCATCTTTTGTCTCTTCTTCATTTCTTTTATTATTATCACTGTTATTATTATTATAGCACTAGAAATAAGCTTCCTAATTAAGTACTCCTCCTCATTTGCCATTCTGGATACCACTGGAGAAGCTGGGGGAAGGGGAGGGGTATTCAGAGCGTCCTTTTGCTGTTACTGCAGAATGAGACACAAACAAGAAACAAATTTAGTCCATCGCAAAAGCAAACGAGGGGCTTTTTATCAGAAGCAAAGAAAACTGATCAAATAGGCTCATTTCAAGTGCCCCTCAATGCCTTAGCCATAAAAACATACAGAATATATTAAAGCATACAAAAATATCCGTAGGTGTCATTAACGATCTTTCTCTGGCACGTGTATGCAAGGCAGTTAGGAGCCAGGCGTGGGACTGCATCTTCAGACTGGTACAGAGCATCTAGGTACAGTGCACATGGAGGAACAGATCATCCCCTTGGTCTAACCCCCTGCAGTACTCAAACAATGTGGTAAAGGAGGGAATTTGCAGCTTTAACACAGAATTTCTTTGTATTTTATATATTCAGGCCAGAAACAGAATGTGGTACATTAGCATTGATTCTGCGGTTTCATATAACTTTTTTTTTTTTTTAAAGTAGTACAGAAAGGAAGGAAAAAAGACAGAAAGGAGAATAAATCATCCCTTATATACATTCAAAGCATACACGGCAACAGTTCCTTCATCACTGGGTGCACTGTGAGTGTGTATTGATGTTAGCAGCAAGAGATTGCATATTAGAGGTCTGTAACACTGGTAGTGTTAACCAACCTCAAAAAAGGTAGTTCTTTTGCTTGCCTTTCACCCTGTCTTGTATGTTAAAAGACACTTAAATAAAAAGAAAATAATTTTAATTACCTAGTTATAAAAGGGAGATTAGTCCTATTAAGTGGAACATTTAAAATATTTTCATTCCTTCGATTCCCCAAGCATCTCCTGAATAACAAACTGTCACAACCAACCCCAAAAGCATCTTGGTTTTTTTTTTTTTCCCTTCCTTTTTTTGTTGTAGCCATTTCACAAGCCAGAATAAGGGCATCAAAAGAGAGGGAATGACAAGAAAGTGTTAGGGAAAATTTGTCCCTGCAGTTGCTATAAATGCAGTACAAATGTAACAACTCTCATATATACCAATGCAAGCAGCCTGGAGCAGGATGAGTAACTGGGTTAGCAATTGGTGGATTGAAATTAAATACTTGCTCCTTTATTTCTTTACAATCCATATTTTTTTCATGTAAACTTTCAGATTAGATGTGGGCACCCTGTGGAGTACCTTCATGCCATGTGATAGCAGTGACACCCCTCTTTCCACCAGTAGATATTCAGAGGGTATCCAGATCTCCAGATATCCTCTGGAGATCATTAGGAGGTTGTCTCTAGAAGATATTACCCTTAGGAAAGATTTCTGCATGAAGATTTTGAAATATATCGTTTTCTGAAGTTTAATAAGTACTGTGCTCTATATGGAGGATCCATCCATCATCCTGCTAAGGGTGGCAAGTCATTGGTGGTCATTACCTCTCTTCGGAAGAAATGGTAACAGGCAATACGGAAATCAGCTTTCACTTAGGAAATCACTGCACCTTTAAAGAAAAATGTTCTGTTCAGTTTACTTGAGCTGTCAATGCAAGATGCATGAAGCACAGAGGTGAATAAATTCCAAAGGCGGAATTGCTCACGTCTTTGCAAACGTAGCTTGAGGTTGCTAACACCAATAAACATTTTTTTGAGGGGTGCAATCACTAGTGTGTTTAAAATACAACCCACAAATATGCTAAAAATACATATAAATACAACCACGGGATGATTGTTTGTCAGTATCATTCTTGCATCAGATTTACAGGGGCAAAACCATGACTGAACTAATACGTTTCCTTATAGCAACAGGGGGTCACTATAGAAATAAAGCTAATTCATATATATATTTTTTTTTTTTTTACCATATGCAGAAAATATTTTAACAGTCTTGGTTGGTTTTGGAAGCTTCCTGGCAACTAGCTGTAATCAGTCCTCCTTCTGGCTGCAGTGCTGCACGTTGATTTGAGGAACATATAACGTAGTCCAAAGTTAGAGAGGCAATTTTTCACTGTTAAATTCCCTATTGATTTCAGAGAAGGGTTTAATGAGGAAAATACAAATAGTTTGACCCTCAGCTAGCATGGCATAAATTATTTTCTCTTAAAATATGACCAGGCACCCAAAGAGGCAAGGAGCTCCTTACCTACTCTCTGCTCTCACTCAGGTTCATACATGGACACTCAACCCCTCAGGTGTCTCCTTGGAAACTCCCCTTGGGAGTTTCAGGATGGGTCAAGCCCTTGTGGGTTTGAGGCATAGAAACAGAAATGTGCATTTGTTTAAAGAGAGAAAAGCTTAGTTTTAACAGTGCTAGCTTGTTCCAAAGCTGTGGGTGAATTTTCAATGGCTTTAATAAAAAAGCAGTTGATTTTCATTACATTTCTTATCAAAAGAAGTCCTCTTCCAATACATAGTCTCATTGCTTTCACAGATGACATTATAGTCTCGCTAAATAAAAATTTTGGTTCAGAGGCTATCATCATATTTAATATTAAACAGGTTGAGATGTACCAAATAGAGGAAAATAAGTTCTGACTCCTTAAAAATAGTGTCAGTCAGAAAAAAACCCATAAAATTCACTCCTTATGTTTAAAATTAATGGCTAAAACCTGCTGTGCAGGAAAAAAATGGTTTATTCTGTGCCTATTCTCTGCTTTATAAGTCTGATGTAGCCTTTTAAGAGTAGTGGCACTTCAATGCTATAAAAAAGAAAAAACCTGTGTTAAATTAAAATATATGTTAGATTTCTGAATTTTTCCTCTATTGGTGATAACCTAAGGATAGAGAAATATGTACAAAGCATAGAAATGTTACCCAATTCATTATCCGTAACTTTTTATTGGCATGTAGTGCTGTATGAAGAAAATTTCAAGATGCTTTGCCTGATGTTGTAAAACTGCCTCATTTTCATTAGTATGAGAGGAGTTGTTGAAAAGATCATTCAGTAGGTTGTTCACATACTGGAATGAAAAATCCAAAATACAAGGAAAGGAAGCCTTTATTTAAGGGCAGTCAAATAAAACAGCTGTGTGATTCTACATTATTAAATCACTGCTTATATCCATCAATTCCATTTATCAGTCATTAGTAAGGAGGGTTCGGATACTTTCAGCCTCTGCAGAGATTTTAGAGTTGTTTTGTTAGTGAAGGCTAGTGGTGAAAGTGGGGGACACAAGATAGGCTTTGCTAGCAGTTTACTATAGGACCCAGAAGTATGCTCTAATTACTCTCTGTCTTACTCTGACGGTGTCACAGCCGAAATTTTACTCTTGAAACACACACAGGTTTCATCACTGAGAACCGAATAGCTTTTGGTCTTCTCCATTCACCATGGCACCACAATGCACAAAGCAAGGATTTCTTTGCTCTTAGCATATCTCAAAACAAACGTAAAAGTGGGAAACGCTAGTAAAAACCCTTAAATTTAGATGTTTTTTGTCTTTTTTGTTTGAAAGAAAATGATGACGGGCACTTTTTTTGGCAGTGTTTCAGTTGTTTGGGTTTTGGTTTTTGTTGGGTTTTTTTTCTTTTTAGTGAGACTTTGCAATATGATCAGTTTTGATACAAAATACTTTCAGGGGTTCTGATGCTGTTTTTATGGATCTTACAGCAGCTAACAAGTGAGCTTGTACTTAAAAATCCTCAGAAATCCTGTCCCAGGGACATGGTCAAAACTTTAGCCTTTCTGAGGTGCACTGGCTCCTTGTTGTGCTGACATCCAGTTACAGGTAGCACATTAACAAAAATATAATTCCAGTGTCATGCTTCGTATCTTCAGTAACATGATGTAAGTGAATGTGTACTAATTACAATGTGAAGCCATCTGGTTAATTTTAAGCTTGCTATTTTACGTGGCTTCTTTGCTCCTAGACTTGCATTTCAACACTCAGTATGAAGAGAAAAGGAGGTTAAACTGTTGCATTTTGTATACAGGGAACAATTCATGTAATATACACCAGTCTGTAAAAACTGTAAATGCTATTTTTTTTTATTTTAAACAGTTTTCTTAGTTTACAAAAGATCAATAATTGGTACCTTTTTACACTCTCAGATTCCTGAATATTGACAGATCTTCAAAGGGAGTATTAGCATATGAAATCTTAAGATTGACTGTCCTGAAGATTTTTAAGACACGATAAAGCTAAAATATCAAGTCTTTTAGACAGCCCCTCTTAACAATTTCGGCAGAGGAGCGTGTCAGAAATCACCAGCAAAGCACAGCAACCCCCCCCCCCCGCGCCACTGTCTGCCTGCACGCTGTTATTTGGTTGCACACTGTTTAAATCCCCAAGGAAAATCACACCTCGCATTCCCTCGCTGGCTGCTGGTGACAGGAACAAGATCCGTACTCATTAATGATCACCAGGGCTCCCTCAATGTGGTTGGGTTTGTAATCAACGTAATACTCCTGGGCTGACATGGCAGCCATTTGATGCATGGTCTGTTTTTGCTTCTGCTTTCTGCGCTGTGTTACAAAGCACTGTCTTAGTTGCCTTAAGCTGGCTGGAAAGCACTTCCAGGAGACGTACAACACTAAAACCACGATGAGGAAGGAAAAAATCAGTGCCATGGTCCCCGTCACCACCTTGTGAATCTGAACGGCGTTCTCCGAGTTCTCGCCAGGCATGGTCATGGTTATGGCGTAGGTCGTTCGGTCCCCTTCGCTGTCCTGCACGTCGTACGTGGCGGTGGCAGAGCCGTAGCTGAAGGTTTGGTCGCTGTTGTTCGTTACCGGCGAGAGGGTGTTAACGCTCGTTGGGTCCGCCGCATCTTCACACAAGTGAAAAGCGTAGACGGCGTCCAAAACATCCTCGCCCTGTGCGTACTCAGGGGTGGCACAGAGCAGATTGCTGTCGTAGCGACCCTTGAAGTTGCTCAGCCAGGAGGCCAGGGCGCAAACGTTACGGCTGCAATCCCAGGCGTTCGCAGAAAGGCTGATGCTAGTGAGGGACTTCCAGGAGTCGAGGACTCGGGAGTCGATGTAGGTCAGCCGGTTGGAGTCCAGCTGCAGGGATTTGAGGTGAGGTACGCTTTCGAAAACGTGAGGTTCGATGTATTCGATTTCGTTGCCGGAGAGATCCATTTTTTCCAGTTGCCATATCCAGTCCAAAGTGTTTACTACGATGGTAACTTTATTCCTTCGCAAGCAGAGAGAGTGCAGGGAGATGAGCCTGGGAAAATGGGCTAAATTCACCTTCACCAAGTCATTGTGCTCGAGGTGCAGCTCAGTGAGTTTGAACAAGCCTGCAAAAGAGTTTCGAGCCAGGCTCTTTAACTGATTGTATCCTATGTCTAGAAACTTCAGGCTGCGACAGTCCTGAAAAATTCTCACTGGCACGAACTTGATGGCGTTCGACCGCATGTGCAAAGTTGTTAGTTTTCTCAGCCCGTGAAACAGGTCAGGCTCCAAAGACTGTAGGTTGTTGTATGATAAATCCACACTGCGCAAGTTTGGCATGGGTCGGAAAGTGGTGTTGGGCAGTTGGGTTATTTTGTTGGAACTCAGGGTGAGCTCTTTAACTCGCCGCAATTTTTGAAAGGCATTCCCCTCCACTGAGCAAATGTGATTGTGATCCAGATAGAGCCACGTGAGCTGCATTAACCCTGTGAACTGTCCATCATGCAGCTCTGAAAGGCTGTTGTACCGCAGAGACAAGCCCATCATGCCCGACAGGTTGCGAGGCATCTCTGTAAGATTCAGTGATTCACAGTACAAAAGCCTGCCCTCACACCGACATAGCTGTGGACACCCACTATTCACGGCTGGAAGCATTTTAGAAAAGATACCCAGCGTACACAATATCAACCCCGGGGGCTTCCTCAGCAGCCAGTTTAAACAGAGACCAATAAGAAGGAAATCCATTAGCAAGAATATTTCCAAATATGCTTGAGAATGTCCATTGAATCTTTTCAAATTCTACATCATATTTTATTAAAGGGAAAAAAACCCAAAAAAACCAAAACAAAGCCAGAAAACCAAAGCAAAACAGCAAACAGAACAAACACAGAGGCAAATATTTCACTTTACAGCATGCAGGAGCTGTGCAGCATTAAAGTTCACAGACATTCAAAGGTAAAATGATAGTGATTTTGTTCATGTTAAATGCTGCAGCAATGAAAAAAAAAAAAAATCTTTCTTCATGAAAGAATTTAATTAAAAAGTGTCTTACCCACCCTTTTCCAGAGAGTGACAACCTCCATTCAGTTGCTTCCTTTGTGTTTGGACTAATTATATGCAGAGCTAAAAAAGACCCCTCTGTGCTACAAATTCAGTCCCTTTCAATTTTGTGCAAGGCTGGCAAGCTCACAATGTCTCACTTCGCTTCTGCTCAAAGAGCGAAAGGCTTGTCCAGCTAGCTTTTTAGCTGACTCCTAGGACCTGCAAGTTTCAGAACTATGTACATGAGCTTGATCTTCTCCTTCTCCCTCTGTCCTTTTCTCTGCAGTTAACACTGTGGCGTGAAAAAAACTCCAAACTCTTTACTAACGACTCCACAGGATTTGTCAATCTGTTTAATGTCCATCATTTGCAACGACCATTGACCGGCACAACCTTTACTCCATAGAGAGATTACCATTCATTCACTGACCGGCTAAGGGTAGCTTTATTTCCCATTCTTTGTTCGCTTTGCTTGTTAGGTGATGCTTAGAGCAGAGAGAGACAGCAAGAATCCCTTCCCTTCAGCTGAGCAGTATGTTGCTAGAGCATGCAGAGGCACCTAGTGTTCACTGAGTGTCGTAAGCTGCTCATGATTGTACGCCTGCACTGTGCATCTCAGACATGGGCAGATTGAAAAGGGGTGGGCATAAAACCAACATTTGAGCGAACCAGGAAAGTAATGTATGCTCTTTGCTGAAATGGAAAATACTTTAAGCCTATCTCGCCATTTCTCAAACACGCACGCACACACAGCCGCACAAATCATCAACAGCGAGGCAGTGCTAAGTAGGAAGCTTGATTTTTTTTTTTTTTTTTTTTGCTTTTGTTTAAAGTCTGAATTTATAAGCTGTTAGCCGGGAGAGGGAGATACTTGATTTCTTGGTTTGGGAAGGAATATGTAAAGCAGTATCTTTGGATTGCTTTTTCTCTCTAATTCTGATGATGAGATTCGCCTTTTGGAGTCTTGGGGTGGGGGAGCGGGGCGG